GAAATTTTGTCCAGCATAACTGAGAAAGTAGTCAGAATAATGCAGACTTCTGGGGTTAAGTAAGGTTTTGGAGGACTTTGATACAATAAATGCCTTTTATAAAGAGGAGAATACAAGGGTGAAATGTCAGATTTTCCAAATCTCCATGACATAAAGATACCAAAACAGTATGTTTAGAAAGTTCCAGGACAGCATTTATATTCTAGAAATTTATTTTCAAAATGGAGCACTAAAAAGCTATTCTTCTGCTTCTAGGCATTGATGGGCAGTAGTCCTTCCAAATGTACTACACAAACCATTTCTTTCAGCAAAGCTGTGTTCTCTGATGAAAGTATCTTTTCTTTAACAGAAATATTGCTGACATCTACAACCACATCTTCAAACAAAAATGGCTGAATGCACTAGTGCTAGAAAGGAAAGTGGCACATTCTTCATGGCAAGTCATACTGGGCTTAACAGAAACCAGTGATAAATTTCCTCAGACAGACTACAACAAACCAAAAAAAACCCTACCCAACAAAAATACTTTAGTAGAAGCAGCCTATGAATTACTGCATGATGTGGGGTACAAAAAAAGGTCATTCATATTTTTGGCACGCTTCCTCTAGGAATGTCAATTTGGTAATGCCATTTTAACAGATTTGATGGGTAAATTTCTGGAATACCTTATCTGTTTACTGTAGCTATCCAAAGCCCTTTAGCCCAAGCAGGCTAAAGTGCCTGGGGAAGTCACAGGGGTTAGAATTTCCTGATTTCTCTAATAACAGTATGTGACAGAGAATGTAGTTCTTAGCCTTGACTCTTTTATATGAATCCTGCTATTAGTCTCTTATCCCAAGAGTCAAGGATTTCCCAAGCAAAATAGAAGTGCAAAAGTAATTGGCACATGCTAGTCCAAAATCATGTCTGTTGAAGCCAAGGGTTGAAAAGAGAGGATAAACAATTTAAATTATTTAAACACAATCGTGACTAATATTTACATATTGCTGTGCAGCTGAGTGCACTTTATAGAGGACTATATAATGGATTAATGCAATGTCTTTGATAAGGACTTAATATGAAGGTAGAGTATACTCATATTCCTTCACAAACACAGTCTCTTAAGAATTATTTGAAAGGACTGCATAATGTAATGTTTTCTGTATATGGAAATTAGAGCAATAATCTTTTGTCTTTTTTTGAAAAAAGCTTCAGAAAACTCAAGGCAAGACACTGCAGCCAGCATCAGAATTTTTCAGTCTTTTTTGTGAATAAATTTTGTAAATATGATCTTTAAAATAATGTATTATATATATGACTTTTGTAGGTCACTAACTCATTTTTGCAGAGTTTGTGAAGCTAAATGTTTAACAAAATTGATTTCTGGAAACAGAGCGTAGTTGAGGTCCAATTTTTTTTTTTTTTTTTTTTTTTTTACATTTAAGGACTTTGAAGCTGACTGACTTTGGCCCACATATTTCTCTTCTCTGGTCTTCAACACTTCTTTTATTTTTACATGTTTAACATAAAGATTTTTAAAAATAACAGATTGGTTGTTCAATACTTCTCCACCTGTGAGCACTTTTGTTGCATTTCTTTTTACCTAAGGCAGTTTGACACGAAGGCTCTGCATTGTAAGATCTTACAATTTCTCAGGACAGACATGTCTGTCTGTAATAGTTTGCCTTTTCAGTTGATGAATCTGGATTGTGTCTTTTTAGTCAATTTTAATGAATTCTAAATGTTCTTTGAAAATGTGCGTGTCTGTTGCAAAATACTTGCTGTTACGTAACATCCAGAAATCTTTAAGGATATTAAGCCACATTTTAACCAAATGTCTACACCTCATTGGATTATTCTAATAGTAATGAATGTATTTTCTAAGCAAGTTTTTGTCATAGCAGTATTTAAGTGTGGTTACATATTATTTGCTGATAGCATGGGGGTTTCTTCCCCCTTCATTTTGGGTGCTTGAAATGAAGATCCCTTTGCACTTCTTACAGTTACAAGGAATTAAACCTCTAAACCTTCCCAAGGAATGACCCAGAAATGTTTAAGATGTATAGTGCTTCTGTTCTGTTGTTCATTGTGTAATGGAAAACTGATTTCTCCCAAGTGAGTAAAAGAAACCATAAATCCCCTGATCTGTGTTCTTTTTTGCTTATTCTTTGTACTGTTAACAAGATGGGGTTTTATAGTTCAGAATATTCAGTGATCTTCCATTTTAATAGAAGTAGGTTTCAATAGAAATATTCTCATAAATTCATCCTTAGTGCCTAGCCAGCTGTTTTTCAAAGGGAATGTAGATTCAGTCAATCTACTTCATGTAATCCTGTCTCTTCCACTAGTACTGAGTATATAGATTATCACAGCACTTACTTGGAATTTTCAGTCCAATTACTGTGTGTTTATAATGCAAAACTTTTAAAAGCCTAAGGAACTTGTATATTTTCATTTCTTGGATCATATCTATTTGTTGAGTAAGTGCTGCTTACTGAGGGTGAAAGGCAACAATCCCTTGCATTTTATATCAAATCAGAACAGTATTTATATTTTGTAGTTGTTCATTATACTGATGGAAACTACAAACACTGGTTGCTTTCATTAGGTGAGCTCTTAGACTATATACTATTATATACATCTTGCAGTACAATTTTTTTTTTAATTAGTACTTCTATTTATACATCTATGTATAACTGGTACCTAGCTGACTGACATTATAAAAGCTCATCCTTTTCTCATATCTTTAGCATGCTGGAGCTTTCCACTACCCACTTTTTTTTTTTTTTTTTCCCTGAATTAAAAGGTTTTTAGTTTAAATGCATTGATGGCTTGTGGAAGCACTAAATAGTACATCTAGTTTGAAATCGGTTGACATTTGGTTACCACCATCAATTTTGCTTTGGTCCTATAGCAGTAGATTTTTGTGAATATTTTTTTAAATAAAACCCACATAACATTATTCAGCAGTAAGAGATGAATTAGCAACCTCTGATCACTGCTGCATAAATGAGCATTGTTTTGCTATGTCTCTGTTACTTTTTTATCACTTGTGTTTATTAAAGTTGTGTGTAGTGCACTTTTTTCCTTGGCTTAAAATACTGCTTCTGAAGTGAGAAATTCAGACCACATTTCTGTCACAAGACAAAACTTACTTGAATGTTGCACCAGTTAGCACACCTTTTATTATAGAATTTATGTGCAGACCAGATGACAGAATGATACAAGAAGTGTGAAACCATGTAATTCTGAGAGCAATATTCTAAAAAATTCTCAGGAGAAGGCATACGGTATTGAGAATTGCATCTAAGCATAGTTTACATTACATGTATTGCTTGAAATATCTGTATTTTATTTTGCAAACCAGAGAAATCATGGGGACTGATTTATAAAAGGAATAGTTGTAAGGTGTTACTGCCCTTCTGGTTTTTGTGCTTGGATGTTAATAATAATGTAAATAAAGGTTTCTATTTAAAATGAGAACTTGTGACACTCTATGAGCTAATACTTTAAGGGTGATTATCCAGTACAGGCCAGAGAAAATTCCCTGCTATCACTGATGAAAACTGTGTATAAAGAATGATTTAGATTTTATCATAGTTGGCTGTAAAAGCCGAGGGAGTGACACTGAGACCTTTCACTTATGAGACACACATTTAGCACGGACACCAACTAGAATTTATGTGTTTTTCAACTGAAAGAGCAAGCTCTAGAAGAGCTGAAAGGAGAAAAGGTGATATCTTTTCCCAGACTTGGCAACAACGTACCTTTCATTAAATACCAGCTGCTTCTTGTGTCACATACAAGTCTCACAACTCACTATTTTCTATAAAGGGACAAGATAACTTTTCAACCTTCTGACTGACCAGTAAGTTATAGGTGCACTGGCCCTGCAGGATTTTAACAGTCACAACCTCACCGTCCAGACTATGAGCTAAACACACAAGGGTGTGCAAATTTTTTAAAAATCTAACCCCTTATTCTTTCTGTGTGCACACTGGGAATGGCAGATAGCTAAAACTTTTCTCTGGAAAGCAGCAAAAATGTGGGGGTTTTGGGGAACTTAAGGGTTTTTTTCTACTTACTTGTATGGATTCAGGATCTCATAATCTAGTAGATTTTTCTGATAATCCATGAAATTTTAAACAAGTTTAACAAAAATACATAGCTAGATTATGACAGATATTCAGATTTTACTTGCATAACTAAAGAAAGCTTTGGCTAGTGGCTTTAACTTGCCACATGTCATACAAATACTCAAACCCAATCTTAGCATATATAAAGACTCCACTACTGCTTTTTGAGTGGGGCTTTTTTCCTCATTCATAAATTCAAGTACATTTTTGGAATATGGGGTTGTGGTACTAGGGATCTACATGCCTGGATATAATTCCACTTGATTTTCCGAACTGCAAAACCAGGAAGGGTTTCAAAATAATTTCCATGCTGTATTTTTACACTGCATTTCTACAAGGGCAAGTTAAGTTTGCATTTTGAAAAAAATACCTCTTTGTTAGGAGCGAAGGCCACAGTTGTTTGAGTCTGTCCCATGAGCGCCCTCAGGCATTTGCCCTTAAACACAGGTAGCAAAGTAACATGAAACAAATGATAAATACATATCTCACCTCTAGTGCCTGTACTACAACGTATGTAATGATGTTCTTACAAAACTACTCAAGTAATTTGGTACACTGTGCTTTCTTAATAAAATTACAGGTTTTTTTTCCCCTCTGACAACCTTAGAACAGTAACTACCATTTTCCTTTTCTGCAGACTAAAGTATAACTAGATTATTAACTACAAGTACTGAACCCTCAGATCTGCCTTTTTTAAAAATAAATGTAAAAGTTACACTGCTAAGCAAACACTACTTTCTCAAAGGAACTGTTCTGGTTTTGAATGTACAGCATAATATTACCACATAAAAAACCTTCATACAAATCTGATTTTGTTAAAATTGAAGATGTACATTTACTGAAATATTTCAGTACCTTCAAAAATGAATAAATTCTGACTTAGCATTTTGAGAAATGGCGTGTGGGCATTACACTCCTTTTTATTAAGAAATGTCTTTACAACCTGAAGGAATTTATTTTCAAAGAGTACACCGATCAATATTTACACAATCCCTCCAAAAATCTGGCATCCTGTGCGTCAAGATTTTCTCTAATCTTCACAGATGTGACAATACAATGAACAAGCAGACATGGAACTAAAATGTATCCTCAGAGGAAACTGAAGAAATTCCATGGTGTTGAGAACACTTGGTGCTGCTGACTTCAGTTCCTGAATATTTTCAAAGTTCTCTTGAACCATTACCTTTACTCCAGTGATAAGCAAAAGCACCTTTGTTTTCTAAATCTTGCTTTAGGGTTGTACTTGGCATTGAAGTTTTTCTCACGACAACTAAAGATACAGGTGAATGGGAAATTGTTTTAAGGTCCTGTCAGCTGTCTGTGTAAACACTGCCACTGCAGGGGCAGTCCTCTTTGGGATGTGGCTAAGTTTCCTCCTCTGTTAATTCCTGAATCAGTTGATTCCTGAATTAATTGTGTCTTGAAGTGAAATGCCTTGTGAAGTAGGTGAGGTATAATATAAAGCAAAAAAGCAGGTACAACAGTGGATTTGAGAGATCTGTATTTCTGATATCATTTCCCATAATTTCACTGCTTCTATTCATCTCACTCACCAGTGCAAACAGTCTATCTATTTCAGCCTCAAAGCTTAGCCAGTCCTTCAGGTGAATGTTATAGTTCATTTAGTCGGTACATGGATTCAAGTCCTGCCTCGTTTGTATCCTCATGGAGGTGCAGCAGCTGGGGGAGATTAACCTTCCCAGCCTTCCCACAGTTGTCCTCTTTAAAATAAAACAAATACAGTTTAGTGTATAACATTCTAGTAGAATAGTAAGAAAGTAGAATAGTAAGAAAGGTATTTTTAGTGGTTCCATGCAGTAAAAAACATTGGAAACATTGTGAACCATCAATAAAAGCATAGTGGGTATGACAGAAACAATTTGACAGTGTTTGAAACTTCAGCCTGTACAAAGCTTGTCAATTCAACCTTCATTTTGGTTCTAAAGCCAGTCTTAGATCTCTTAAATTAGAAATAATACCACAGCATTATGTGAGCAACTCCCCTTGGGTAAGAAGACCAGACTGTGCCTAGGAAGGGACTTGCACCTGTGTTTTCCACTGCACAGTTCGAGAGCACTTAATGATTTTTAATGAATTGAAGTATCTGCCTTCTTTTTAAGGGGAGATTCAGAGACAGCAACATGCAACAGTAACTTTTTAATAAACTTAAATTTCTACCTCACCTTTGAGCTCTGGCAGTTTGAGAACTGCCAGATCATCACCACATTTTAAAAGTCAGCTCAGTAAGTAAAAAAGTAGTTTTAGACACAAATCTGTCTTGTAGTCTACTTTCTGTTTTAAATTCCTTTTTCTGGTCACAGCACAAAGGCTGTAGTTGGATAAAGAGCAAGAAAATACATGATGCTGTCTCACTACTTATGAGAAATTGCAGTCAATTTTGTTCTTTCTGGATTGTGTGTAAAACCACTAGGTAGCTACTACTAGTTTAAGTTTAAACAAAACCAATGTACTGGTCTTTAATTTTTATTGGCAATTGACCATAACTAGTTTCTTAACTGAGCATCTACCTTTTACTTGTTTGGAATTGCTTTGACTTTAATGCCCCAAGATTCCCAAAGAACATGTACCAAGAGGTTTTGTGCAGCAGTAGTTGTCAGTAATTATGGCAGTATTGTATTTCTTGCATAATTTAGAGGATTCTGTGAGAATAGATGATGAGAAGGGAAAAGTTAAGTAAAAGCTAATGCTTTTGGTGAATTGCTCCCAACTCACAGTGACTTGGCAGATGATGGTCTCTTCACATCTGGCCATTTTCGGCGCTGAAGCTGCCTATTTTTCAAGGAGCAAAAGGAGAAAAAAAGTTAACCGTCACCAAGAAAACAACCAGTACCACAATATGAAAGATGAGGAAGAAGAATTCAGCCAGAATTTTGACTAGTAAAATCAGAACATAGTGTAACACTGAAACAAATAGCTCCAATGTTTCAAAGCAAGTGGGGTAGAAAGGTCTTTCAAATGCCCTTTCAAGCCAGGCATTTCCATGTGGTTCCCAATCCTACACTTGCTCTTTAAGTATGAAGCTAGTACTTCAGAATAATAATGTAACTTTTTTTTTAAACGTACCTGTACTGCTCGTAGCTTCCATCTTTAAGTCCTAGGTGAAGAAAAATTAACAATGTTACTAACAATGCCTGTGTAAGAAAAAATAAAGACTTGGGAATTTAACAAATTTCCTGATGCCTTGAGTAACTTAGTATGCCCTCACATCTGATCCTGCACTGAGCAGAAGTTTGGAGCAGAACTCCAGAAGTCCCTTCCCACTTGAACTGACCTGTGTTCAGGTCTGTGAGTTTCATAGTGGCTGTTAGGCTATACTCTCCCTTTCACAAGTATTGTTCCTTCTTTGTCTTCTGCATCTCAGCAATATTTTATCACTATGCTAAGGGTGATTTTTCATCTTAAAAACATGACATAACACAAACTGAACATGTACAAAAATCTGAGAATGCAGCTATCACCCTCAGCAGGATATAACTAGTGTAAAATATTCCTAAAATCCTTTTGACTGATTCAAGTTTTATAATGTTAAGGGTACTTTGGGGTTCTTCGGAGCGCAATAGAAGAGGCACTTACCAAGATCCATGTTCCTGGTTCTTGGATTGCATTGCTTATACCCTCTGCAACTTCTGAGTTCCATGAGCTGGACATGCAGTTGATTAAGAACATCTCTGTCAAGTGTATTCACTGCATTAATTAGCTGCAATAAACAGGAGGTTCTTCTTAGTAACTATTGCTCTGTAATTTGGTAATTTTTGGAATACAGCTGGTTATTTGTAAGAAGAGCTATGTTATACTAGTTTAAATTATTAAGGCATTAACTTCATCCTGCAGCAATACTGTGTGATTTCAATTTATTGTTGACAAGTAACAATGATGTATTTCTTGAGCTGTGAGCTGAAGGTCTATGATCAGATACCTGATATGGATCAGTATTGAGATCAAAATACTCCAAAAATCCAGTAGCAAATTCACAGAACAGGAAGTTGTGGGTCTCGTTGATTGTCCTCAAACACCAGTACGTGTTGTTGTTGGCACTGGTACAGGCACAGAAAGGGCCCACTGCAAATTGAAGAGTTATAAAGACAATAAGCTATATACTTCTGTCTTTAGCGCTGCTAATTACTTTCTGTTTATAGTATTACTTTATTCATAGACAGTTACTCTCATTCTCGCTCCTGAGCTCTAAAGCAGAGAATGCCTTCCAGCATCAGCTTCTGTGCATACATAATCCACATGACATGACTAATTATGGTAACATCTTGTCTGGTTCCTTTATTTGATTGTGAAACATTCCAGATGGTGAGATACCTTGCTGATCAGTGTACAGTATTCACTATCTGTAGCTTATTTGCAGTTGGTTTTACCTCCTTGCCTTTCATGCAAGAATAATTACAACACTGAAAACAGAGACTATTTACTACAGAGAAGACTGTATTGCTTTGGTTACAGAGCTAATAAAACCAGTAACTACTACCAACCCAACATCCCAGCCCAGTCTAGTCAAATTTTGCCCATCTGTTACTTAGTTTACAGTATTCTTACATGTCCACAGGGGAGCAGTTTGCCAGTGCTGGTTGTCATGGGTGAAGCAGGTCAAACCAGGCATGCTGCACGTGTCATTATTTTTAATTCTCTTAAGCAATTTTCGCAGTTTCTTCTTCCGTCTCTGCTCTCGCAGCAGCCACAGCCTGTCTTTCTCCTGTAGGGCTTTCCTGCACACATGAAATGTTAGGGTCATGCAAACTCTATTAGATTTGAACACAGCTAAAACACCCCAAAGTAGCTAATAAAATAAACCAGTCAGAGGGAAAGAATCCACATTTTTAATTAAATGGTGTTTCATACAAATGGAGATGACTCTGCAATTCCATAGCACTATGGAAAAAAAGCAGCCAAAGGGGCTTGTAGGCCTGAGGTTTGCAATGTGTTTTTTTCAAAAGCAGAGACTTTATCTTAGAATTTACAAGCTTTTTGATATGGGCTTAGTTCCTTGCCCAGGTGTCTCTGTTTATGCTTTTTAATACAGGATAAATTGAATACTACTACTGTCGCCTAGTATGTAACTGGTGTGTACCAGTTATTCTAATATTAACATTACATTTTGCACATCCTCTCTCAAAGGAACAGGCCTTCACTTACTTGAAAGGATGAAGACTGGATCCTTTGTGTCTCAGTTTGCTCTTATGTTTTGAATGGTAACTGGAAAATAAAAACAGCATTGCTGGTGAACAACAGCAAGACAGCTGCCCCTTTTCTCATCACATTATCAGACTGGATTTGAAGATTTAATCCAGTGTCACTTCTCCCTTCAATTTATTAGTGTATGTGATGAATAAAGGCAACCTTGCTCAACTGGATCAGGCACTTCCCAGCGTCCCTGAGTCTCTGTTTCCTCAGGTTCTTTGTCCACAGTGACACTTGGTGTGCTAACACTGCATTGCAATGTATATTCATGTCAAGCTACAATTTACTATTATTTTATTTTTATCTGGTTGTTTCCCTGCATGAGGCAGATAGAATAGATTTGTAATTAAATTACATTTCTGCAATGGAGTATTTTCTAACTTGTTCTAATAATGACAAGTTTATACTATTCTCCTGTCATTTTCCTTCTGAACTCAAAAATTTCAATACTAGCTTGTACTTTGTAGGACTGGGAGGGGGTGTCCTCCATTATTACTAGCTCCAAGTTGCAGGAAAATTTGAACTAGATAGATTGAACTGTCCCAGCAAGAGCAGTGTCTAATATATTCAGAGATATGCTGAGTTTAAGCAGACATACAGATTCTCACTAAGTTACTACTGCTTTGCCTCTCCAGAAACTCTTACAGTATTTTGCAGAAATTTCCTTTCTGTGGAATTACCAAAGTTAAAAGAAAAGCCTCAGTCACTGGCAATATTTTCTTATTTATAAAATTACTACATACACAAATCAGCAAACACAAATTTAGTTTAATAAATGTTGTTTTCTAAACAGTAGATCTGAATTCAATTAGTTGCCAGATTAAAATCTCCTTATAAACAAATATTTTAAATTCTTAAAACTTTTGGGAGCTTTCATAAGTTTAATCAGTATAACAAGTTAATAAAGTAAGATTATTTAAGAACTATCTTCTTCAGTAAATTCTTTCATCTTGCACAGATGCTGGGTATCAACTAATTCTAAATGTTAAAGCAATTGCAATGCAAACACTTGACTATATATAACTCAGATGATTAATTTCTTTGATTTCAGTGGGATTAGTAATCTCAATAATGCTATGTACAAATATAAGTGTACCCTCTATCAGCGTGAAAATAAACATTTTTTTACATTTTCTATAAAACATTCACCAAAAATAATTTCATCTTTACAGTACATATTAGGTAAATTCAGTTTATGTAAACTCAGTTAATCAGTTTTGAAAGCAGTGGATATAAACTTTCTGTCTGTTTACCATCTAGAATGATACATCTCAAGCAGTTTTTGACATGGGCCCCTATAACCCAAGAAATTTATGATCTCCATATTTTAGTGGATATGCTGCTGACACTATGTTGCAGGATCCCTGCAGGTGACATCCACACTCCACAACAATTATAAACATCGTATCTGTAGAGTATGTTGCACCTCCGAGATTTTAAACATTACGTTCGAAAAGGCATTCTGTGCCACCAGTAAGATAAATAAGTTTTATCTACATCCTCTCACAGGTGCCTAAGCTGCAGCTTAAGCATGGCTGCCTTGGAGTTTTGACTCCATTCAGACATAGCTTGCTTTTTTATGGTGATACTCATATATTCTGCCACTGTGGCTGCAGTACTCGCAGTGATACCTGGCTCTCAGCAGCCTCAGAGCCAGCTCCATCATCATCACCATGAGCAGGGGAAAGTGCTCCTGGGTCTCTTTCTGAACAGCTTTTTTCAGGGGCAAATTCTGTTTGGGTTATCTTTTGATTTTGGAAGATTTTCTGTTGTGCTTATTTGAAGAGCTCGACTGTCCAGTTAAACTCCTGCCTGGCAGACAGTGGGCCTTGTACTTGTGCAGCAGCCTAACTTCCCCTGAATGTGTTTACAGGAGTACAGTCAGCAAGCAACCTCTGAACAAAACAGATCCTGATCTCTCCTGTGAGGACATAAATCAGTTACAGTTGCACACTACAAATAATTATTTGGAAGTACACAAAAAAATACCTTAGCTTGTTACAATCACACTCTTCAGGTCGCTTCTTCTTTAGATGACCTCTCACCTCCCTCAGGTTTTTTATTTTATTTTGCAAAGTTTCAATCTAAAAAAAAAAAAAAAAAAAAAAGGGAAAAAAGCATAATTGCTCTATCTTGTGGTACGATTACCTTCAATTTCGTGATAAGAAAAAAAAAAAAAAAAAAAAAAAGGGGGCACAAAGACAGCATAAAAAAAAAAAAAACAGCATGATTTAGTGCTATTCTAACTTTCTCAAACTCATTCTACTGTCACCAAGACCTTCCTCTACAGTACCTTCTGTGGCTCTCACCACTAACAAATATTTTCAAATTATCTAGCTTTCCGGAAGGAAACTATAGTAGGAGGAAGCTGGTTCCATTTGCCTGCTCTGATTCCTGACTCTGAAAGTGGAATGCAGTGCTGCGCGGGGGATAGGAAGACACTCCTACATCCACTGTGATTTCGCCTCTTGTGCTCTACAGCAATTTGCAAGGGGAGAAGGGCTGCTTGAAGGAAAACAAAGTCATTATCTTTCATCGTGTTCTGACACTGGGAAGGGGATGGGGCAGGAGTGATCTGAAATCCCCTCTTCAGAGGTTTTGAAAAAGCAAAGCAGCAAGGTTCTGTCACTTTGCATAGCAGGCTTTAGCAGTGTCTGGACACATGGGATAGCAATCAGCAGTTAATTGTGCCACCCATGAGGTTTATTTTTAACTGCCTTTTTTTCACTAAATTAAACTCCCGCTTTTGCTCAGTCTGGCTTACATACAGCATGGCCCATTTCCACTCAGATATTGCAGGCCTCTACACAGAAGAAAAATTAATCTAATATGAACAACAGTCTCTGCAGAACTACCATTAGCCATCAGTGACCATAGGTGTAGTAGAAGCTCGTGACTGTCGAAGCAGAGACAGGACAGTGTTCAAGGAAAATGGACAAAGAATCCAGCCCTGTGACCCTAAATCAGGAACACAACTGGACAGAAATGTGTTGTCATTTCCTTTGACACTCCATATTTGCTATATTTTTGAAAAAAAAAAAAACAAATTAAAGGACCATGGTAATATTAAAATTGCCCTTTTTTAATCTTAGCAGACTAGTAAGTTTTCAAGTATCTGCCCTGTGTGCCAATGTTTACAATAAAAGGGGACCAGGAAGTTCTTACATAGAACTTCACTGTGAATTCAATGTAATTTGATAAGAGATTACAGGACATCCATCCTTTATGCTTCTCTTTGGCATTTGTTCCATCCTTACCTGGTCCTTAGATCCTCTTTCATACACAATAGACCTTCTTTCATACACAATATGCATGAAAGGTTTGAGCTAATATTATTGAATATTAGTGGCAAAAATGTCTAATAGTTTTACTGGCAAATTTTATAGAGCAAATTACCTCCAGGTTCTCCATATACACAATCCTATGAAAAAATTCAATTCCAAAGTGCAAGGTTAAGAAAAGCAGTAGCAAGTGAAAGAAATTAATTCTGGAAGCACCAAAACTAATGAAGCTCACTTTTTCTTGGGCCTTTATATTTGATACTGAAGAACTGTGTTTTGAGAGATTCTCCACTGGGGAACAGGAGTACTAGGATGTTAAAAAGATACAGATTTTTTTTTTTTTTTCCCAGGGTGGGGTTAGCTTTAAGTCTTGTCTCATAAGGCATATGACATTTCTCAGCTGTGCTTTCAGTTGCAGTTCTCTCCTCCACTCAGCATCTTGTCTTCATAAACTTGTAATAATTTAATTATTTCTGAAATGTCTATTCTGAAATCAGCCAGCAAATTCAGAAGGTTTCACAGAGGGACAAAGACACCCAGAGGCAGACACAGATAGTCAGCATGATTTATCAGCCCACAATGCTAAAAACACACACTGAAAACATCACTGACCTCATGGTCAATATGAAGTTTATGGTCCTTCCAAGCTTGCAGTGACCTGTACAGATCTGTGTCACACTGAACAGTATTGTTCTCCAGGATATAGCACCTTGGCATGGAAAAGTAAGCAGTGTTTATTACTGTGAATACACACACACACACACAGAGCAATGTAAACAGCTGCTCTTAATAACACAGCTCCAGTACAAATGAGACCGTGGATTGAAAATGACATGCAGAATTCAAAAAATAATGTTCATTCAAGAAAATACAATTGTGCTCTGAACCAGGAAGGAAGTCTGGGTTTGAGTTGCCATGGAAATTTTTAAGTAGAAAAATTCAATGAGAGTATTTCTATCAAGCAGAACCTGTTGACTCATTTCTCTATGTAAATCGTGCTACACAGAATTCTTGCTTATTCATTAGACTTTCTGCATAAATAATCATTACTAAGTAGCAAGCATTGAAAGCATAACTCAGAAGCAATTTCCTGATGCATAATTGAGTGATGCAGGGGTAGGAGCAAGGATAAAATACTTCCTTAAAAGATGTATTACTACACCATAAAGAAAGTAGAAGAAACAAAAAAAAACAAACCAGAAGCAAGGAAGTTTTATAATTTTCTACAAAAGTGATAAAATCTTTCAAGGAAATCTCATTCAGTTTGAAAGCAAAAGATCCTCTGACAATATAAAATCTTTATGTTTCACTAACTTCTAGTGAAATCCAGTTTTTAAAATTATTTGATAAAGAAGAAAGCAAAAATCGCCACTTGACAGATTTAACTGGAAAGTTTATTAGGGGTTGAATACCATGCAGCTATTTCTGAATGCTTGTTTAAATTAAAGTTGAATACTTGCAGTGATTCTTTATTTTCTTTAAACCACCTCATGTATGTTGTCCCATTGCCTTCTTTTCTGCTAGGGAAGGCTCATGAATTATGTACAGTCTTCCTGACAGTTCCTTGTACAAATCTGGGATTCACTCACTAAGGCAGCAAAAGTAAATTCAATTTTTCTCCAGAAGAAAAAAAAAAACAAACAGTGATTTAAGGGTCCTGAACATTCATGAGAGACAGAGTAAGAGAGCACAATTCTCTGATGCCTACATTTCCTATTGGTGAGTTTCTAATTCACTTCTGTGAACAGAGCTCAAATGGAAAACACAGATATCAACAGCAGCTACCTGGCTCCTGCATGCTTACATGAGCTAGTCATTAAACAATATAAAGCATGTAATCAATAATGATTGGTGGATTTTCTGATAACTCGCAAATGGAAATGGTGACTAAATGAATTAAAGTACAGCTGAAGAGACATAATCAGTCCCTAGATTCACCACCAAGGAAATTATTTTTAGCTGTTAGAGTGGTCAGACAATTGCCTTCCCTCTCTCAGTATGTTCCATTTCCCAATGTTCCCGGTCCATCCAACTTCATTCATAATACAGATTTCCCTTTCCTAGCGCTGTTTACAGAAAACTCTGTACAAAGCAACCACTGACACAAAACCAGTTCATGCTCCAGTCAGGGCCTTTGGTCTCCAGCCAGGCCAGGTTACCCCATTGCACACTGATTTCCAGGAGTAAGGCCTCTCCTGGTTTCATGTAGGTTTAACACCACTGTTGCCAACAGTTTTGCTTGTTCTCACTGGAAACATATGCACTGATGATGGCTACTGTCTCCACCCAATGCAGAAGACAAAAGCATTGCTGCAGCTCTTCAGGAGCTTCACGCCCTTCTGCACTGACAAAAGTAAAACAAAACTGAAGACTCTTGTACACATGGGAGTAAGAATTTTAGTGGAGCTAGATGGGGTATCCAAAAGGGACACAACATGCTTAGCACACTTCAATCCACACATTTATGAAAAAAGCAGTCACTTAAGGAGCAAAAGCTTTTAAAGACCTACCATGTGCACTTACCTGTGAGTCACTTTGATCAGATTAGGGGCTGTGTACTCTTTAATGCTACCAGTGCCACTATATTCCCCCATGTCTCTATCTTCCTCCTCGTGGAAAACAGCTCTCTGCACCTTGTGCCACTTGGTGATGTTCCTTGGTAAGATGGGCTGGTATCCATCCTCTAAAGGCAGGTGATAGGCAGCTCCATCCAGCTCAACAGATACAGACCGGATAGAGCGATTCCGGGCATAGTTTGGTTTGAATTCTGCATGGAAAAAGTGGAAGACCAGCAGAAACAGCATGTTACAATTTGCTCTTCTTTGTGTCTCTTGGAAGGAAAAACCCCAGCCCATACTATGCTGTTTGGAATTAACTGGGTGACAGTGTTTGTTGCAGTTGTCCTCTGAGCTGCTGCTTCCTTCACTTTGGCATGGATGGAAGTATGGATAGGTGGACGGATACCTCAGAGTATGAGAGGGCAGGTACAAGGCAAAAGAATGGCAAAGGGGAAAAAAAATAGTCTATTCCAGCACCAGTGAGAACAAATAGCTCGTTCAAATGGATGCTTGCTCTTCCTCCACAATCACCAGATGGCAGTCCCACCTTAAGTGTGACAGTCATGACAGCCATGCCACCAGTCACCCTCAGGGTCCAGTTCTCTGTGCTTTTCTGCTGTCCACCATACAATTCCTCCCTGCTAGGATTCCTGCAACACATTCTTGAAGTTGTCCCAGTATTCCCAGTGCTCAGCCTGAGCCTTTTCCCAGGTCTATTCTTCAAGGCTAGGGCTAGATACTTGATTTTTTTGTTTTTTGGTTTTTTTTTTTTGGGTTTTTTTTTTTTTTTTTTTTTTTTTTTGTTTTTTTTTTTTTTTTTTTTTTTTTTTTTTTTTACATACATATTTTTTTTTTTTTTTTTTGAAAATATTTCTCCATAAATCACATAGATTTATGTATCCAGAATACTGGATAGCTGGCTGACATTTATTTGGTCAATGATGGCATACATANGGGGGGAAGGGATTAATACTTGAATCTTTATTTTTATCCAAATGCAATTCTTTTCTTTGCAATTCTTTCCCGGATGTGCAGCCCAGACAGCCAGCTTCTCTGTGAAGCACCACCCTCCAGTGCTATGTACTCCCACAAACTTTGCTTCTGCATTTGCAGCTCAAAAGCAAAATGAAATATTTTTTATGAAATGCCACTGTGCAGTATGAGATTCTCATTGCTCTTTTCCCTAATACTATTTTCCAAAGTTCTCTGTTCCAACTCAAATCCCCAGAACTCCTCTTCTGTTTGGTCTGGAATGGCAAAAAGAGAACATAGTTATGAAATCTAAATTTCTATTTATACTTCCCTCCTGTATGATGGGGTCCATCTCTGACTGTATTTCCTGCCCACCACTATTGACTGCTAAGAGTCAGTCATTAGGCACAATCATCTCATTCTTTGAGGGAAAAAAGCACAACCTTGGTACCACAGACTCTCTTGTGCTCCCTGCCCTAAGGAAGCCCAAGGCTTTACTCTGTATATGAGGCTTGGAGTTACCACAGACATTACTAGAAACAACTGAATCCCTTGGATCCTTTGGTCAATTCTCTCATTTAAAGAGACTGAAACACACAGCACACTTCATGAGATGGGACTTCCCTCTGCAATCTAATAAAGGCAAAATTCAACCAATGTGCCAAATTAAAGACCAATCCTTGCAATCCCAAACTCCACAGAAAGGTCAGCTTCTTCAATGGGATAATCTCTCCAGCAAAATAAGCAGGGGGAAAAGAAAATATGGAACTGGACAAAATTGACAAAAAAGTACCTTAACTGTCACGCTCTGGCATTAATGCAGAATGACTTTTTTCAATAAGCCTTACATTAATTTCAGATAGACTTCACCATCTCAAAAGTAGTTTTGCAGTCTGTGGGAAGCAGAATAAACATCTCCTCCCACCTGGAAATGGGCCAAGCACAATATTTTTGTCAGTGCCACACACAGAAAGCAGAATACCAGCTGGATTGTCTGGCTTTGCACATTTTCCATGTGTAGCTCAAAATTTACTACTGATATTAAGCCAGGTGAGTCACAGCTGAAGGGATAAAAAAAGCCACAAAAGACTAGCTCTATTTCAGGCACCAATTCAGGAAATGCTTGAATAAATAAGACAGAAACTCCCATCTTTTCCAAGGTAGGAAGAAGTTCTAAAAAGCTACACCCTACCAATGAGATTTAAAATATAAACTCCCATTTCTTTAATCATTCCTTCATTTTACCTTGTTCAGCTCAGCCAACTAACAATTAATATTCCTTCCAAGTCTAATATACCAATCTAGAAGGCTGAACCTCAGTAGATAGCCCCAGAGAACCATCAACTACATGTCCCTGAACAGCTAGGAGCCAGGTTACTCTTCCCTTTGCAGCCAAACTAACACAGCCTTAGCACTAACTAATTGGTGTGGAGTGAGGCACCTCATAAAGGACTGCTTCTATTGCTTTATCCTAACATGCTACCCACAGTGCTGACTCAGTGCTGTGATTGATATCAAATTCTGAAGTGGTTAAAATATTTGATAAGATCAATATTCATTTGAACTGTGCGCTCCCATCTGCTAAGTGGACTGCAGGCATAAATACTAATGTTTAATTACTTATTAGTCAATCCTCCCCCAGGTTTTACTTTCCAATCTATTTACCTCTGTACACAGCCTACAAACAGTCAATCCAGGGATGTTAAATATTTGGCCAAAAATATCTATGCTCCCTTCTTCAGGTTACTGAAGTCTGGCTTTGGTAAGCTCTATGAATCTGATGCCTCTCTTCCTCAGCCACTACAGAAACCACCTGTCTTAGAGATGGTATTGCTAAGAAGTTGCAACCTCAAAATTGAGTTGCAAAATGGAGTCCAGAGGAGTTTAAGCCAAGAAAGCCAACTGCTTTCAGAGCCCCAGTCATCCAGATGGTATCGCAGGACTTGACCAGCATGTTTGTCTTCACTGGAACCTGAAAGGAACAACATTTTCCACTAATGTCTATGTATTTTGCATTTGGTAGACAAAAGAGCTTTTTTTTTTATAACACAAAGTAAAACTGTGTGCTGTAAAGACATTAAAAAAAAATAATCTCTAGTGTTTAGAAATGGATTAAGTTTAGAGGTACTTTCTTATATTCCATTCTCACAACTGCCATTAAAAATCATACTTTAAATGCATTATCTGTAAAGTAATGGACTTTTTAATAAAAAATAATGTTATTAAAAATGTCATTTTGATCCAGCATTGATACCACCTCAAAAGTAAGAGTGTCAAGGAAATTTTAATAAAAATGCACTAGCCTCTTTGTAGACACTTCTGTTTCTTTACTGTTCGGTGTGGCCTATCATAATTTTCCTACATGCAGCTTAAGAATTCCTTTAATCACACACACTCACTCATCACAGGAAGAAGAGCTCAAATCCACAAGAAGAAAAATATAATAGGCCACACCACAGCCAAAGATTTTGAGACCTCATTATTTACTTTAAACTTTCCACCTACTGCAAAGCTGTATTTGATCTTTCTTATAAAAATTAAGAGTATACTAAAGAAATAAAGAGGACAAAAATGCAAACATTCCAGACACCTAAACCCAGACATACCAAATATTCATGTTTATGTGTTTCTGCCACTTAAGTGCTTTGCAGTCAAGTAATGTATTTTGACATTGTCCAAATGGCACATATATGACACAGCCCTATTGTGAAACTGATTTTACTCAATTTAGAAAACAACATTGCCTGCTAAATGCACTGGTGCACCTGAAAATGCATTCTAAACCATGCCTACATCAGAAAGTAATTATTTTACCAAAATGTCTGGTGCTCCAGCCTCTGTACCAGCAATTTTGTCTGGTCTTTTACACCATCTGTTCTCACTATATGTAACTGGTTTCAATCTTTCTGAAAGACCAATTCTTATACCCTATTAGGGTTTGCAACTTGCTTGATGCACCCTAGATGCAGGGCATCCATTCTGCTTTTTTGCAAATGACTACAGATTGGAATCCAATAAAATGACCTTTTGCAAATCTATCTCTGTTGTGCACAATAGAAATGAGTGATCAGGGCATTTCTTTCAAAACTTTGCTACTGCTTGAAACTACTGCATTAATATGGACGTGACCCTTAGAATAGAAACTTCTATTTTGTTTGGCAGTTGTTCAAACTAATGAATAGCATTTACTGGTATTCAAGCAGGGCTGCAGTATAATCTCATGCACTCATCAAATTCTGAGTAGAAGACCCCAGAGGTGCCCTAACAATTATGCAACCCAGCACAGACCACACTTTATCCCAAGTCTCACAGAACAAGTCTTAAAAACCCAAATACTCATCATGAGTATCCAGGCCACTCTCTTAACTAACCATAGTCCAGTGAGACAGCTTTCCACATATGTTGTTTTGAAAAACCTTGGTATGTCACCTTGACTTGTACTGCTTTGGACTCACTTGCATTTGCTGTGTGATTTATTAGATAAGTGCATGTAGAAGAATAGCCAACACAAATGAAAAGGTGTCTGTCAATAGGTCCAAGCTAACCTTTTCCCTGTATAGCACACCCTGGATGTGGGAAGATGGATGGAGCATCTGTGGAGGCAAATACTTTACTTTAAACACAAGCAAGGTAATGTGATTGTCAAAATCCTGTTATATGTTGCTGAAGTTTATACCTTAAAGTTCAGTGAAGCTAATGAGCTGAAGGGTGTAGTATAAACTCTGTCTCATCTGAGCAGAACACAGAGGAAAAAAGCACCATTCTCATCCTTCTGTAAGAGGGAGCAAGTTTCACTTTTTTCTATCTTAACTTCCTATGTACATAAACTAAAGGTAATTATACACTTAACCACCTCCTTTGAATGTTGTGAAAATTAGTTAATGTTTAGAAAGCAACAATGTGAAGCACTTAAGTATTAAGTATTATCAGATACCATTATGTTGCCCACATTTTGTTTTCCTGTCCTCATTTAGTGCCTTCCATCTACTGCTATTGACTCCCCATGATTTAACTTCCTTCTGTGACTTTAAAAAAAGTAGTTAAATAAGTACAAATTCTAGTGTTTTTTACAGATTGTCGGCTGTAGCACATATTTAAATATCAAGTATAGTTGATGGAACCAGTAATTTTTTTTAAGAATTTGCTTAGTAATTACTAATCAGCTTGCAAGGCAAATATAATGGGAGAAAATAAATTTAAACTCTGTGTTTCAGGTTTGTGCCATTATATAAAAAGACTACTCTGCTAAATAAGTAAGGCTCAGTATTTTTGGCGTAAGATGAAAGAAACATTACAAGTAACTAATAATTCCGTGTTGCCATTTACCTCTAATCTATAATTAAACTACATACTTCAAATATACATGTTAGTCTGACTAAGGTTTAACAGGGTCAGTAAAATGGGCCTTCTGGTAAAGCAATAATCTGTGCCAAGGAAACCAGTAATAGTCATCCCCTTTGGCTGTTATATCTGATTAAAAGTCAGACTTGTCTCTGCTGACTGAGCAGAAGAAAAGGATGTTAGAATCAAGCAGCTTCAATAACAAAGTACACACATCCTTATTGAAAATAAATTACTGAAGTAACAGCTGCAAGCATTGCAGGAGCTACTGAAAATTGAAGTATTTGCTGTATAACATTGTTCATGTTCCACAGCCTATGTAACTGTGTGCAATTTGCCTTTTTTGCACTGGCACTGCATTCCCCAGAATGAAACATTCTTTCTACGGCCAGGTATTCTTAACTCCGATTGTCCAGTATGAGACATGCTGTTTCACAGTTGAGATACACAGGAAATTTGCTAACACAATTCAATGCCTATGATTGTCAAGACAATTATGTGAGTTAGCAAACAACAGCTTTCTAAGACAGAGACAGAAGATGCAGTGGGTTTGCTTACTTTTCTTGGAGAAAAGTTTCTTTCTTTGTCTGATGTGGCTCAGCTTATATTCATTATCTTCACAATTGCAGTCTTCGCTATTCCTGTTGTAATACTTGAGCAAAATATTGGAGGTGCCTTTGCCATTGCTTGCAGCTGCCAAGTCTGCCATTCTCTTGCACTTGTGCAGCTTGAGTTTTCCACTAGCATCTTCCACACACTGCCATTTCTGGAAGAAAAAATTGGTTATTAAAAATCTGTCCTAACTATGGTCTGTCTTATGACCAGCTGCAGTTATTTTATCAGATATTCCTTGTAGTAAAATGGGGCTCACCTATCACCTATTATCCTACCAGATTTTTGCAATCTTCCATTTTCAGACAAAACAGCAACTCTTCAGAACACCATTGCATTTGTTTCTGAGTTTGCCTCTTGGAGGTAGAACAATTGAAATTTCTTTTAAAAATCAATACTACAGCTAAAAACATGAAGGTGGTAAGTGACAACTTTCAGAAGCATAACTGCGGCATAAACCAAGAACATTCAAGCCATATCCTAATCCTGAGAGTCTCATTATAACTCCCAGCATAGTAGGACCAAAACCTTCCAGCTTTATGGAAGTCCTCCAGATAGACTCATATACTGACTTGGTTGGAAGGGGCCTTAAAGACCATCTTGCTCTACGCCCCCCCCGCCATATGCAAGGGGACACCTTTCACTAGATCAGGTTGTTCAGAGCTCCATCCAGCCTGTCTGTTCAACTCCTCCGGTGTTGAAGTGTTTTCCAGGATTGCTCTACAAAAGCACCTGTTTCTCTTCAATGGCCTTTCAAAGGGTCAGATCAGCTGTAGAAGTCCTCAGCTGTATGAGTTTATGGCCATCTTGAGTGGTTTTAAAAGCTTTTTCCCTTCAACACACTTGGGCTTGACTTGTAAGGGTGAGCTGCACTGGATGTCTGAAGTGAGAAACCCCTCCCTCTCACACTCAAACTAGAGAAAATACTGTTCCCTATCTCCAATTCACTCACTCAACTCCTGAAGTAACTTGCTCACAGTTCCTCCGCACTGCTGTCAGGGCTGTACCAAGGGCAAGGGAATCTAGCTGCCTTCAACCTGGCACAGAAGTTCTACCCACTTCTCAGGTACATCACAAAATTATTTCACTTACTCCTTAATTTATCAACACTTTGCTAGCTACAGAGGCTTAGAGACACATAAAAAACCCCTTACAGTAGCAGTTGCTACTGCTTTAAAAAAAGTTTCTCAGAAACACTCAGCTTCTTGTTGAGTCTTGAAGAAGTGTTCCTCTTCTTCCCTATTACAAAATCCTGTAAGTCAGTTCTTCCAGGACTCACTGGAATATTGAGGATTTTCCAAATAAAAGAACAGAAGCAAAACCAGCAGCATGGTCTGGGCAAGATGATATTTTACAGCAGCCTACAGCTCTATAAGGGAGACTCAGCCACTTCAGTTTGCACAGCAAGGTGTACAAAGCCTGGGACAACAAAGCATATATTTTCTGTTGACATTCAGTCCATTGTTTGCAGGACAGCAAAGTAAGAAAACAAGATCACTGTGCTTTTATTATCAGACTTCAATAGGAGTCAAAAGTGAAGTGGCCAGTTACAAAACATTTACCTTTCACTGTGGCAGAACCTCTCATTTAAAATGATCCTTTTTATGGTGTGCCCACTGATATCCTCAGACACCTGGATGCCAAATCTCCTGAGCTGTATCTGTGTTCAGCCTTGCTCTGATGCAGATAAATCCAGCTTAATTTACAGCACAATGAATCAGGAAACCAAGGAGAGACACTGACAGTAAGATCTTTGCATGACTATGTTCATCTGTAAAGCAGTACATATTTACCTAGATTCAATAACAAATTAATATCTGAAGAACAAATTCCTCTCTTACTTTTATAAATGCCTAACACTGATTGATGTACATACAGACTGAGGTTTCAACTAAAAGTTATTTTACGAGAATAAACAATGCTTTCTTTCACAACTAAAAGAGATTGGAAAATGTTTGTTGCTGTTTCCCACTTAATCTGAATATTATTTTTGAAAAATATATTTTCAAAATACAAACTACATTTTCTGCTCAGTAGAGCTCTATGCTCTAGGTACATTTTAATACATGAAAAATGAAGTTTCAACAGAGGGAAAGTTCAGTGTCATGATGAGAATTACTGCAAGTACTCTGATGTGTGGTCAAAAAATATTTTTTCTCTATATCTTTCATGTCTTGTCAAGAGATTGATGCTCAATTTCCCCCTACAGGTGAACTAGAAAAAATCCTTTAGTTTTTGGTACAGCTGTATGCTACAGTGAAAACATATCAAAGACTTCACTGAAGGGCACTTTGTATGCATTAACAGGCCCTACTGCTGAATGAATGCAGTGCAGATCTACCTAAATTACATTAGAAGCAAACACTGAATACATGGCTGGGGGTGGGGGCAGGGTATGGTGTGAGGGTAGGAGAGCAGGGGAAGGAAAGTCTCAAGCCTTTACTTTTTTCCCCAAAACAGATATCAGCATCTGTATGAATATGTTTGGGATTCGACAGCTTATCCTTGCTCTGCTTGTAGGTCCAAAAGCAAATTCGCTAGGCTGATATCATGGCTCTATCAGGTGCAGTCATTTCTACTTAGGGGAAGAGGGTAGGAATTGCAAGAAAAATGTGAAAACCTCTCTTAACCATTAGGAAGCTTTAAATGCTGCTAATTGTGGCATTTGAAATTGCTTTCTAGTGCACAGCAGACCATCTGCTCTGTGGAGAAGGACCTGGGGAGTCCTGGTGGACGATAAGTTGTCCATGAGTCAGCAGTGTGTCCTGGGGGCCAAGAGTGCCAACAGTGTCCTGGAGTGTGTTGCCAGTTCCCTGAGCTGGTCCTGCCTCTCTGCTCAGCCCTAGTGAGGCACATCTGGAGTGCTGTGTCCAGTTTTGGGCTCTCCCCTGGAGAGATTCCAGAAATATCTGGACACAGTCCTGTGCTGTGTGCTCTAGAATGACCCTGCCTGAGCAGGGAGGTTGGAAGAGATGACCCATGTGGTCCTTTCCAACCATTATGCAATTCTATGATCATGCATATACCTGTGGAAAACTCTGAAAGTAATGAAAATATTTTTTAAGAGATAATCACTTAATCAATTAAATCGCTATATGAATAACTTCAGAGTACCCCAGAGATACTTTGGCTCACAGGTAGACATGATAACTATCAAACAGCAAAACATAATTATTTATAAATAGTGGATTAATGCAACTGTCAAGAAAACTAAAAGCCCTTAGTTCACCACCTACCTGCCCCAAACTTTTCAGGTATTTTCTTTATTAGGGCAAATGATATGTTCTTAAATCAAGACCTCTAGCTTGTAACACCTCAAAAGCATGAAGTCCTGAAAGAGAGGGCAATTTAACACCAACCAAAACTCAGTGGAAAACCCAGACTGCTCCACAATCTTTATCCCAGCTCATATCAAAATTCCAAGTGAAGAACCTGTCTTTCCTCCTGCAAAGCATGGCAGAACAGCTACTCAAACCATCACAGAAATAGCTTTTGCAATATATCCTGAAGTGTATCAAGCTCACATTGTGCAAAACTTTCCAGTTACCTCCTTTTAATGTCAAAGCTGTTCCAGCTGGAGACTTCCCACCATCCTCAGGCCAAATTAGTTGCTGTACTCATGCTTTCTGTCACGAGCTGTGCTATGCTTGTTCTGATGCTTCTGCTTCATCCCCTATCCACAAATCCCATTGCACAGCTCATGCTACCCAGCTATTTGCTTGCAAAGCAGAAAGTCTGGGCTTTATTAGTTTAACAGACAAGTTGTTAGCAGTGAACAGCAATCTTGTTCAAATGCACACTGCAGAGGAAGAAAAAAATCAAACTACACTTTGAAATATGTTCTCTCCAGCCTAAACTATCTGCTATGCGTATCCAATACTAAATTAAGACTACAATATCTATGAAACATGAATCTTAATGGCAACAGATGCAAACTGAACAGATGCCTTGCTCCCTTCCAGTAACACTATTTACCTTGAACATGCAAATTACTCATTAGCAGAAAAAGACATATTGTATTTTTCTGTGTGTTAAAAACCTATTATTTTCTTCACAGCCCTTTATCACCATGAAGTGGGTTTTGCATTATTGTGCATTATTGTCTTCTTACCATTACAGCAATCACAGATTCAAAGTCACTATCTGAAGCCCCAATCAGAAATAAATAGCCATGACTTTCCCTGTAGGATTTTTTCCTACAATTCACTCATTTCCTTCAGTGAATGTCTCTCAATTGACACTTCTTTCTTTGAGGTTAAAATAGCCAATTATGTAAGTCTTGCTAGGAAATATTCCATTGAAACAGGTCTCTTTCAGAGCTAAGCCCTAATTCATCATTCTGTGTCTCTCAGCAGCTGGTTTTGTATTTTTTGGTGTGGGGTTTTTTTTTGTTTTGTTTTTGTTTGTTTGGGTTTTTTTGTTATGCCAAAGAGATTCCATCTTATTTTACAGAAAAGTTAAAAGTGAATCAGTTTGATCACTGAGCTGCCAGCAAAGCTCCCTAACAGTTCTAGGAATCCAAGTTTCTATAGCACAATAAATTCTTCTGTCTTTGCCAACAACATGAGAAACACACATCAGTAATACCACTCTTTATGCAGTTGCTTTCTGAACCAAGTGTTGGGTTCAGATGGTGAACATTAGATGGTGAGCTCCATTAGATTGTGAGCTACAGACAAACTGCTTTAATGGCTAAAAATAGAGTAACTTCCAGTCCAATTGATTAATGAGTAGTCAGGATACACTTTTTTTCCTTTTATGAACGATAGAGTTACAGTTTATTTACCTCTTCTCTGCTGTGATTTGCTCCTTGTGTTACTTTCCTTAGGGCTAATGAGGACAAAGTAACAAAATCCAGGGAGCCACACAGAAGACTTTACTCTACAACAAGTTCTGTTGTTTTTGCTGGCAGCTTCTCCTATCGTTCAGATGGTACTAGGTTCAGGGAACAGACAACTCGAATTGACCATTGTTTGCTTCATACACATTACTACTTCTCTATTCTAGCTGACTTTAAAAAATCAGTTCATATCTTCTTCACAACATCTTTCCAATTCATGCAGTCAGACCTCTCTCTTCTCAGCTATTTTCTATTTGATTATGCCCAGTTCCTTAGTTCTTCCCAAGAGGTATTACTTCCTTAACATTTTAACATTTTTGCTGGGTTCACCTCTTCCTCCGGTACCTTATTCCTACTCATCCACTGGCAAAGGATTGTTTGGTTTCCTCTACTTCATGGTATCAGTATATAAATGAAGACCACTGCCTGGCTTTCATTCCAATGTGACATAATTTCATTACACTGACTCATGATTTTTAGAGATTTGGGCCACTGAACTCTCAATTTCAGTTGTCACACACTACATACCACTCAAACTTTCAAATTATTAGATAGATGAACGATTTATTGACAGAATATTTTGAGGGCTTTTTAATGCCACAAACTGCAGCCTACATGAGGCAGGTGGGACAATGACAAATGAAGAATCAGGTATTCAGCTAATTTTAAGATTACAATTATATAATTAATTCACTATTAATATAATAATTGGGTCATGGTATCAAATGGTTCCAGCTGCTGCATTAGGGATTGCACAATCTAAGAAGTCAGTGCAGCCTTAGCAGAAATTACATTAGTTGTGAAGGAAAAAACAGCAGCACCAAAACGGGAATTACTTTGTTTGAGGTTCCAAACAGAACTTCTCAGACTGAAGCCAGTTTCCTGACCTCCAGTAGTCTTTTAACTAAAGTACACCACTACCCATATCAGGATATTTGTAAAAGCTGGGGTTTTTATTAAATTTTAGTGTCAATTTCAGCTAGCTACATACAAAAGCCAATACTGTAATGACAAGAAGTTAATAAATCTCTTACCTAGAAATGCTAATTTCTTGAGTTTGTGAAGCAACAAGCAAAAAAAAATCCAGTAAGTAAAATAGCCTCTGAAAATCGTTACAATTTATTTCTAGTTCAAGGACGAAAACACTTTTGTTAATTACAGTTCCTCATAAGGAATGCAATCCTCAGATAATAGCCTTAACACATCATCATTATTTTAATTGTCATTGTTTGTTGCCTCCTAATTTTATTGGTTCCAGGGCTGATAAATTTTTTAATGTATGAAGTTATCAGCAAGTCATTTGTTGCTGTAATCACAGATTAAGAATTTGATCCTGAAAGTTGATCATGTGCAACTTGTTCTGAAATTCAGGAACTCCAAAGATCTGCTGAAAGTGCTATTGAAGTTATCTGCACTCTAGCTGGCTTGATATATGTCACCAAGAGAACTTAAATTCTTTCATAACCTCAGTATATCTCTTCTAGCAACAAAAGTGCCAATAAACCACAAAAGATGGGAAGAAAATTTTGGATCTGTCTAATTTTTAAAAAGATTCCTTCCAAAACCTGACACTGCTTCCTAGGTCTGGTTTATACAACCTCAAGCTACAGTGGCCTCAGAAAAAGGAGAAAATATAAACAATTTTTTTTCTATTTCTCCTCCCTTGGCACTAAGCAATGGCTAATAATGCTTGTGGTAGAATCAGGAATATGATGTAGTGCCTTTTCTGAACTCACAAAGAAGGCACACACTGATCAGAATAGTTTTCATCACTGGTATGCCAAGTTATGTGAGAGAACTTGGGGGCAGCAAGCAAGTAAAGCATGTGCTTTTATTTATGGTATCGTCAGACCAGTTACAAAAGAGAATAGCCCTTCATGATCCTGGTATAGTACAAAGCGATTGGAGGGAAGACTCTATGTCAAACCTTTCATCTGCAGAACACTTGAAAGAAACAAAGTGCAAACATTTGCATTTTGAATGTTCTGTGAAAACTGTCGTATAAAATGATACTTCTAATGCTATTTAAAGGCAATTTCTACTTGTATCAGATTTGCATGTAAATATACCTTTGAAAATAAAACGTATTTGAAAAGGAAATAATGTGAAATCAGGCAACTATTTCTCTTCAGGAGTTAGCAGTATTATTGTATACTATGCCAGATCCTGCTAAAGAAAAGATATTTTAATTTTGGGAATTCGTACATGTACAGCATAGATTCCCTATAGCAATCAGCACTGCTGCGGGTATTGCATGTTTATCAAATGTGCACAAAACTGGCAACTCACTTAAAGGGAGATTTTGTGAAGCTCTTGTTATGATACTGTGGTGTTACTGGGAATACTCTACAGAGCAATGCTGGTATCATAACTGGCTTCCACAAAAGCACATTAATGCAGGTGACTAGATAAAAATGGGTCAGCTTCCACTCACCAGCCAGCTTTGGATGAAAGACCAAACTACACTAAAAAGGAAAAAAAAAATGTGTGGAAGCCATTAGGTACTAGAATAATTTTTTTTTCTTTTTTATTTCATGTGGGAAGAGCTCATCTCCTTTAAATCCCTGAATATAAATGCTGAGCTGCTCTTTCATCTGATTCTACAGTCACCCTTTGTTGGATGCAAATAACTAACACACACCAAACCCTAATAACTGAAAAACAAAACATGGCAACACACAGATTCCCATTGCTCTCAGAAGAATTTACATATATTAGCAATGCAAAAAAATTTCCACTTAGTGGGCTATGAAACAAGGTTTTAGACACTATGAATAGCTTCTTCTCCATGATCTTGGTACTCTCTTATGAAAACAAATACAGGTTAATGAGGGTGAAAAATTTGCAAAAATCACTTTGTGGCAATAGACCTGTATTCACAAATCTGCATGCTCACAAGGCAGAATTTCAAATTCTCCACCTTATATTCAAAGCTTTATTTCCCTCTCCTTTCTTTACGTCTCCTTTAAACTCTGCCCTTGTCTTTTGTCCTTCACTCCCCTCCTGTGTCTTTGCTTTCCATCTGTGCTTCTTGTCTCCTGCTCACACTTTACATTCCCTGACAAATTCAGATTTCCCCGTGCATGAAATAGCAGGTCCCCAAAACTTGATTAAGTCAAAAGAAAGAGCCCCAATGACTTCAGCAAGCTTGCAACTAATTCTGACCCAGACAGGTATTTATCTTTGCATCAGGATACAAAAATTCACTTTTCATACTGAACACTCCAAGTACTGTTAAATAGAGTGTCCTGCAGGATCAGAAGACATCTGCTAAATAACCATTGCATCTGCATAACATCAACTCCCCAAGGCAGTGGTATGTTATTAGCTTGGGCTCATTCTACTTACTGTGCAGAACTATGAACAGCACAACACCCATTTGTCATTTGAGAAAGTTAGTCTTCCTTCACTCTGAAGAGATTTTGGGTGCACCTGTATCCTCAAATAAGCACATTCATCTCCCAGTATTCCTATTGTCTAGACAGACTACTAGGACATAGTCTCTAGAGTAGGGGTTAGAAGGATTGAGATTCCCTTGAGAGCCCTTCATAGATTTTAATTGACTTGATTGTTTGGCAATTTTTCCTGATGTCCAACATAAATTTCTTTTTTTGCTCAATTTCATCCTATCACTTCCTATTATGCCTAACCAAACTGCTCAAAACAATTCTTCTCCTCTCTGTCTCCTGACAATAAGGATATAGCACAAGCATCTCTTATTAGCACATCTATAATGGAGAATTTATTGGTAATTTTGACTATGGATTTGACATTTTATACTTCTCTTGAAGAGAAAATAGTGATGGGAAAAAAAAAATGTTATGTTTCCCCATCCTACTTACTGGATAATGTTGTAGTAGAAAAAAAAAACCACCTTATTCTTCCAGCTCTTCAAATAACATTGCAAATTCATAAAACAGTGGCTTGCTCCCATTCAGCTAAAATCTCAGCTCAAGACTTCTTACGACAATAAGCTACTGCATATAGTATTCCTTTAAGTTTAGTATTTTTACAAAGAATAGAACATTATAATTGCTCTGTGTACTCAATCTGACATAGAAACCATAGGAGGAAAAGAACACATGGACAATTTTTATACATATAAATTGGATCCAAACACCTAAGGAACAATGGACTCATTTCACAGGTGCATTGAACTACATGATCAGTAGAGCCAGAAGTATGGAGTCTGGCCTTTGACAGTAAATAAATTAACTGCAGCCTAAGTAGCCCATTACTGACTATAGCTTGGTAAGTAATTTATATCATGTCTGGAAGAACAGTTATATTCCACAGACTAACTTACCCTGACAGCCCTCTGGGCTGCCAGAATATGAGGTAATGCCAGTGTGATACACAGACATATTAGCATGTGGACCCATTTACCTTCACCCCTTTGTTCACAGAATGTGTTACAGTCCTTGGAAAGGGGTTCTCTGTCCCACACCTGCATGAGAGAGCTATGACACAGAGACAACTTTGCCAAGAGCGTTGAATACTCTGGAGATAGCCATGCTTTGCTTTTGCACTGCCCTGATAAACTCACAAAATCCTCTCCTGTGCATGTCAAGACCATGTATTGATACTACCCTAATTTTTTCCCATTAATTTCTTCTATGTCACTTGTATGTAAAGTGAACATACTGTCACATCTGCCCAAAACAGTTATGCAACAAGGGAAATGACAGTCAATGAGCTTTATGCCCACATACACACAGCTTGCCTCCAGTCATAACCACATGCGTGCTTTCCCAGTGTGTTTTTGTTAAGAGGAGGGATATATATACTGAGTAAACAGAATTTTAGCTTTCCATTACTATATGTAATTACTAGTAACTAATTACAAGTAACAACAACAAAATGAATTAAAGAATTTGAAGCAAAGCAAGCTATATATATTTAAAAAGGCCAATCAGTTATGTATATTGTAGCTTCTCATCACTAATGAATCCCAAACCACATCCTCTTTGAGAAATAAAACATTGAAAGAGCCTAGGCAGTTTTCTTAGTGGTAGTCAGGAATCAATACAGAACACTTGAATCAGCAATTTCTTGACTGACAGTCAATCTCAAAAATGCTGTAATAAAGATTTGAGCAAAGGTTACAGAACCAGCCATTTGATTTATATGCTGGCATTGATGATGAGGTGAAGAACATTGACACATTGAAGGTGTCGAGCTTAGCCCAATTACAACTGCTTTCTTGCAGTCTGGGGTAACAATACCCTACCTGGCCAAGCTGTTCACAGGCTGTTTGATACTCAGCTCGCTGACAGAGGTCTTTCACACGCTGATATTTGGGTAGAAAGTTTTCTTCTTGGGCATCTACCTTCTCGCTCTCCCTTTTATGCAGCAATTTACTGGAAAAGAAAAAGAAATTATTCTTACATTAATATTAACTCCAACACACAAATACAATTAGCTGAAAAGACTTAGACAAGTAGTTATTTTCCGAGTCCATATCACCTCTGGTAGCCAAAACTTAACAGTCCAGCAGAAACTAATAACACACAAGTTATTCATATCCTGCTCTCAGGGAGCACACAAAAACATATAAAATCAAGACACTGTGTTACATGCCTGAGTGACAGGTAGTGACAACTGTCAATATAGAGAGACCACATCACATTCTACAGTGCTGTACTTTGCAAACCCCTCATGCCCTCATTTATGTACTAAGGCAGAGGTGCAGAGGGAATGACCAGCAGATGAAGATGCAGAGAGGAAGGGTTGTTCATAATCCTGTGATACAAGCAGGAGGGTAGGGGACAGTAGCTGAGAGCAAATTGGGATGCCTTCCCATCTCTCAATCCAAGTAAATTCCCCTTCCCCCACCACAAGAGCATATTTATGCAGGCTGTAGGCAGAGGCCATCCATTCCCTCCAATCACACAATCACTGCCATTAGGCATACTGCAGCCGTGTCCCTGCTGGCACAGCTAACTGACTTTAGACTGCAGCAGAGTGCTGCTTTGGCTTTAGCTATTCAATATCTTTCTATTTAAAAAGACTAGGCTTTGTGATTAACACTTTCCTTACCCTCTTTCCACAAGGAATGAGTCTCTCCATACCTTCACCTTTTTCTTTAAATGAAACCTAGGAGGAAACAAGGAGGATAGGAAGACACAATTTCCACAAAACCAGTAAACAAGTTATGCCCCAGTTTTCTCTCCCACCCCTAATTCCAACAAGAAACATGCCATGTAACTGCACAAGAGGACATCCAGCTCTATGAAGCAGAAACTTATTGCTCTCCACTGAAAACCACAGGACATATTTCTCTCAGAGGAACTAAATCCACAACAGGTTTACACAGGACAATTTCTTCAACTTAAATGTGTTGAAGGCACATGAGATTAACTGAATTTTCCTTGTTCACAAAGGATCACAAATTAAATCAGGATTTCCTGACTCAAATTTGGGCTCTTACTATGCATCTATCCAATAAGTATCCTATTCTAAAGCAGCTGCTCCAGTCCCCCTTTCCCTCCACCCAGCTATGTGTAAAGCAAATAGTTATCCTTCCCTTTTTCTGCTGATTTTCTCTTGCAAGCATTCTCCAGCAAGTCTAATTCTCTTCCTCAGTCTTTTTCCAATGAAAATACTGACGGAAAAACTTAAATAAAAACTGCAGTTTTTAGTGCTAGCCTGTCTTTATATTATAGTCTGATACACAACCATCGCCTTCAATTATTTTACTATTTATTCAATATGAAATGCTTTGCTACAAATGATGCCATGAAGACATTTAAATCTAAAACCTAAATAGCTAAAGACCTTCATGTGTAGCCTTCTCACTTCTACATAGACTACATTTAGTATATACAGATGCCATGCATGCCATACATCTAGAATATGAACACACCAAAATGAAAATAAATAACTGAAGTGAGTTGTATATGCCAAATAGTCTTCAGACTTTCCCGTGAATGATGTACTCAGCTAGATGGTGATTTTATTATATTTTCCTTTAAAATTTCTGCATGCGGTTGAACACTTGTTCAGTCTCTTGTACAAACACATGCATGTTTTCATGCAACATTTTAATTTCTTACCTATTTACCGGTCTCTCAGAATCCAGCAGCTTTAGAATGGATTTACCATCCATATCAGACGGAATATCCAATCCAGCAATATCTAGAATTGTAGGTGCGAGATCAATATTTAACACAATGTGAGGATTCCTGGAAAAAACATAGGACAAATAGGTTTAAGGTCTATACAATAATACCAAGCAACTCCAGTTCCCACAGAGTTCAAGGACCTGAAAAGGCTTATTTTGTGACACCTGGAAATAAAAGAGGACACAATCTGATTCTTTTCCATTAAGGGAATTAACCTATAATATATAGATAAGTTGCATAACCTCAAGGAGACTAATACAAATGTTTAAAACTTTATTACAGAGCATTTTTGAGAAAGCAAAGTAGTTAATAAGGTAAAGTTAATTTTTGCACAAGACAGTTTAAAAACTGTTGGAAAATGTGTTTGAGTGTCTTACAGAATCAAAATGCCTGCCAAATATGTTGATGACTTTCTTAAAAGTAAATTTGGCAGGTTTCAAAACCTGGTACAGAAATGAGGACTTCAGTTCCTATCACAGTAGGCATGTTCTAAAGAGAGTGTGAGAAATACATAGCTAGGCACTAGTAATAACTAAAAGTGACTGTTAATTTACAGTGCGAGACAGAAAAAGGAAAAGGATGAAGAAAAAAGCAGCACAGGGGGAACAGTTATGAAGAAAAAAAGTGAGAAAATAACAGCTTGAACTACATGCTAACACTACATGCTACAGCACTAAGCATGTAGAATCACTGTGTTATGATGTGCAGGCACAAAGAAAGGATGGGACCAGATGGGCTGAAATAAATACTAGTGCTGAATTCCAGCTCAAAACACAGGATAGAAAAAAGCTGTTAAAGTCACAATATTTACTGAGATACTATTTTAAAATTACTACATCTTTGAAAGAGTAAGTAAACAGGGCACTGACAAGAGCATAGGTGATGAATTACCTTTGTGTACCTGATTTGATTTTAATGACTAATAATTATTATATAGCAAATTTGGTAACTGAAATGAGAGGTTAGTAATGACTTGCTATGGTGATTGCTATTAAAATTTCCCTTGTACCAAAAGGGAGTCATAACAATTATTCTGCAGGAAAAACATATGGTTCACAAAAAAACACGGATGTCTGAAGTTCTACTGTTTAAAGAAAACCAGGCTGAGAGGGAAGATCAATTTATTATCTGATATATTCCCTCTCCAGGGTGTTTTATCCTGTTCTTCCTATTTGCTCTACTGTAACAGGCTCTGTTCTGTTAAGACCCTGTCAAGGCTGATTCTTTCAATTCTAACAGAAACATGTCTTCATCTTCAGAAGCCTTTTAAAAATAAAATTCAGTGGGAAGGCTTCAGAACTTTTATGGATATAAAAGTTTTATGGTGTAAAGATCCTAGAACTACAGTAGACACAATGTGGCTGGTCTCTAGCCTTATATGTTGCAAACATACTAGCTCAGTCACTTGGGCCATGTTAGCATTGACTCTCCAGGAAGGTCAAAAACTGCAGTCAAAGAGAGCAGTTTTTCAGAGGGCTATTGCAGCTCATTTGAAATTCTGGGCTGCTGCAGACAAAAGTCGTTCAGTGCTGAGGTAATATGTTTAGTCCAAAGTGAGGAATCCCTCCCTGCTCTTTAGAGAATATTGGTTGTTTTCACATGCAAAACTGCTGAAAATAAATCAGAACCACCATGCAAAATCTACAGAATTTAACATTTTTCTGGTTTCAGATAACGTGGATCAATGAATTTAACCAGCATTTGAAATAAGAGGTCTTCAATAACTATTTGCTATCATATTAAATACTAGATCCATTCCTCTGTGGCAAAGAAAAAAATTGTGTGTGGAAGATTGTGTGTGTTAATTATGCTAAGTCATGCACACTGATATAAATATTAGGCAGCAATTTATGGCACTCTGTCCAAAATCACTACCTAAGTGCTAATATTTGCTAACTGAAATAATTGCTTAGAAAAGGTATTTACTTGATTTTTTAGCTGATCAAAGCTACCATTTTAATTAATGGTTATACTCTGCATGCTTGTGTGCATTCAAATAACAGCCCTAACCATGTTGTCTCAGAGAATGAGCCAAAAAGAATGTTTTGTGGATGCTAATATATGAGCTGGTCTTTGTAAACTGAAACAAGTGACTCCAATGCTCAGCAATAATTATCTACATTATACAGTATATTTTTAAACTTTAAAGTGACAGTTGCATGTGTAATTTGCACTCCTCAAAAGAATGCAAGTGTTTCCTAGATTGGACAAAATTCGAAGTGATTTTTCAACAATATCCACAAAAGTGCAGTGGCTTGTGCAAGCAAAAAGGCAATGGCCTTGAGTTTGTTATACCATCCTGTGCTATCAGTTTTGCTTTCTGAGGAGGTATATTTTTCTGCCAAAATTCAAGTCATGACACACAAAAAAGCAAAGAACTTACAAGGACCCAGCCTCTACATTTGGTCCTCGGACATAGAAAGGGACTCTGATATCAAACTCATATGGCATGGACTTCCCTTTCACCAGCCCAAACTGCCCAATATGATAACCATGGTCTGCTGTGTATATTAGATACGTATTTTCCAGTTCTCCTGTTTCAGCCAACATATTGTAAATCTGAAAAAAAGCAAAATGAAATATAAAATTTATTCCACTGAGTAGCTCTATATGTGGAATGCTGCATATCCCTTTCTATTATGAGTAACATACAAATAACAGCTAAGCATAGCACTGAGTTATCATAATGAACCACTCTGAATAATACATAATCACATCTTAATTTTACTAACTGAATATTGTGGCTATCACAAGACAAAATTCTGTTTTAAGGTAAAACACAGTAGCATACCATTTCAAAAATGTTTGGGTTCAGTATTTTGCATGAGAGCTGTCAAGATAGTACTAAATACATAGAGCAACAGAATTAAAAGTTTCAAGGTGTCACTTCAAAATTTTCTCTTCACTTTTATCTTCTTGAAGCAAATAGTTTTAATAAAATGACAGCCCTTTGAATCTCACACATATTCAGGCAGCATTCAACAACCTTGCCTTCAGACAAATGATTCCCCATTATGCAGAATATTTGCAAAATATCTTCCAGATAAAAATCACTCAGTCATACTCTCTTCAGTATGGAGAATTACAAGGAGATTTAAATGTGAATACTTCTACAGATTTACATAAGATGCCATGTAAAATGTACCAACTTGAGTATCAAAGATCAATTTTTATGTGATATTTTCACTTGAGAAAGGTGAGAAGGTGGTGGGATTCCACCAAAGTGGAGCCTCACACAAGTGCAAAATATCAGCACAAGAGAAAAACTGTTGTGTTGGTTTGGGAGTTCATTTTGGGTTCTTTTTCAAGTTGTTTTGTTTGCTGGTTTGGCTTTTTTGGGGGTTTTTTGGTTTTTTTTCAGGGTTTTTTGTTTGGGTTTTATTTTTTGTTTTACTTTTTTTGAGTGTGAGATTGTTTTGTTTTTTTCTTTTTAATTTTGAAAAACTAGTAAGTAACACACATAATTCAGTAGAAAAAGATCAGGCTAACTTGGTAATTAGAACTAAAAACCAACCTAACTGATTTTGCCTGCTGTGGATCACCCAGAGTGAAACTCTTTTACTAAACAGGAAATAAAAACTGTGTGGTAAAATCACCAATTTCCCCTAATGCTGGTATCTGATCCACCTAAACAGCTTTGTTAACATGAAGCAGAGATCATATTTGCCTGAATCGGTAATAATAAGACATTAGTAACAAGCTTATGCAATGCCATCTACATAATCTCATTTTTGCCTTAGAGGACTCCTCTAATTTTATGTTCTACCTTTTTTGAATAAGAATGCCAAGAGATAAGCAGAAAAATTACAACACCTTTAAATCGGCAAAACCATTCTTCTTCAGCATAGCTTTTAGTGAATACAGACATTTTGTTGAAGACACGTAGTTTCAATTAAGAAATCTCATTGTTACATGATGCAGACAATTTTACAAGTACTAATCTACGTATTTATTTACTTCCAGTATTTAACCTCCTCCGGGATCATTCCAGTATCATCACTTTTTGCTGCTGCTGTTTTCTTCTCTCAGAAGCTCAGTGTTACAGGATCAAAATAGACACACATTTAGGTAGTTATTTCCAACAGGTTGTAGGATGACTTTATCAAAGGACACATTTTTAGGATTTATGATGTGTAGTTTTTCAGGCAATCCCTTTCTCTTTCCCTTTATCAGTAGTGGTTCTGTGGCAAAAAATCAGCTTGATCACACCACCCAACTCAGGGTAGCTGTCTTTAGGAGATGAGGATCCTTATACATTGAATTAAGAGACAAAATAATCAGAGGTGAGAGGATTACGCATTATTTAAAAACTGTAGTTTTTTTAAGCAGTCCTCCTTCTCCTTCTTTCTCCTTTATCTTCACATGGAGGACAATATAGAGCTTAACTCAAGAAACAAGCACCTGTTTAGCCAAAAAAACAAAACAAAAGTGACTAATAATCTTACCATCTCCATAGAGTCATCCACAGACATTAGTGTTTGAAGGCGCTTTCTCTGTAGCATGTTAGTGAACTCCATGTGTATAGGCTTCATGGGACCGGTGTACCTCATTATCCAGTGCTTGTCTGGGTTTGGAGCATAATTATAACTGGGAGTACTAAGGAATACAGAGAAAATCACAATGTTTTAGCCAAGTAGAAAAAAGCCATAGTAATGAATATTAATTTCCATTTGATCAACACTGTAGGAAGTACTATCTGAGGTGCATGAGAAAATATTAAGATTATTTTTGAAATGTCTTCTACTTTCATGTTATGAAACATGGGAAAATGAAAACCACTTGGGGGGAATAAAATCTATGAAAACATTAAACACACCTTATCTTTCCAAAGATTTTGAGCTAACAAGTACACTTTAAGGCCAAGAGACTTAGCCTCAGAAGACTTAACTCCACAAGTATGATTAGGATGAAGCATGTATTACAGAGTTCCTACTCATGCAATTGCTTTGTTTTCACTCTGCCCAGATTAGCAGTCTTGTGCAAGCTGTTTAAAAATAACTATACAACTTGCTGAAAAGGTTCTACTATGTTCTTTAACAGCTTTTTACAGTTCAGCATGACTAGTTGAATATTGTCACACTTATGCACCAGAGGAGCACAGGCACTCTGCCTACTGGTATCCAATTGCATGTGAGCAGCAGAAGTGGGGAAATAGCTGGACTTTAAAGACCTGTGAAGAAAAGTGGGATGAGGAAATAGGGCTGTATTTTGAAGACTTATTCCAGCCACCAACTCCTTTGCTTGAAGTCCCAGCAAAATCACAAGAACCTAGTTCAATGTCTCCTTGGAATCTCACTGTCCCTCCAAGTTCTCATGGTCCTGGGACATGATTAAAGTGATGAGGAAAAATATTGTTCATAGTTGCACACGGCTGGAAGTTCCAGCAATCACATTTCTATGCATAATTATATAACTTTAGCTGAACCTAAATAAAAGATTTATTTTACCACCATGATGTAAACTCTCTGCAAAACCAGCTAACTAAAAGCTATTATTATAGCTTACATTTGCAAGAAATACTATTCTTATGTACTATATTTATTCCTTATATACTTCAGGTGAAGACCATGTTTTACAATTTCTTCACATCATGGCTCAAACACATCATGCACAGAGTCAAACATTAAAAATTACTTTTCCTATGTAATTTGGTTAGGCTTCCTTTTTTCATTCAAAGCACTAAACTCAGCCATTCCAAATGAAAATACTCATTTACTTTTCTCTTAGCATCACAGAATTTTCTAATAAATTCCTATTTGAGAAATTTCTACTTTTGGTTTTGTATAGGCAACAGAGCAGCAAGGTTATTAAAAGTTATTAAGCTAAAAAAAATGTAAGTTGAAACTACTAATCAAAATACTGCATATGTAATGTATCTTTGAATATGACATTCTTAGGAGATTTAATATAAATATTAAACTAATCATCTGACAATGACACTTTTATGCTGAAAGTCTCTATTAGATGCTATCTGAAAAATGTGCATATTTGGCAAGGGGAGGCTTCTTCATACAGGGAGGAAAGGTCTGGTGCCTATTCTCTCTGTATTATTAATAGTCTCTGGAATTTCAGAATGTTATTGTGGTTGAAATAATGACACTGCCTCTTTGAAAATGCTGACAGTTATGGAAACTGTTGCTATGTGATGTCCAGAATTAATAAAAATTGCTTTGCAAACTCCTTTTCCGCTTACTTTTTGACTTCCTGTCTGACTTGAAACCTCCCACTATTTAATCCAACCAAAACCCACCATTTTTTTTGATTACTACAAATTTAACCTTTTAGTCCTTAACAGGTTTTTCTGTCTTATGGGAAAAATTAAAAAAAATTAACACTTCTAGAAGCTAGCTAACTTCTCCCAAACTACCTAGAAGGGAAGCCCCAGACAGATTGCATTTGACCTTAAAAAAGATGGATGGTAGCATGTACTGTCTATTGAAGTAACATTTCAGATCACTGTTAAACTGCCCAGCTGCTAAATTCTCTACAGGTCACAATATAGGCAGCAATAAAGGAAAACTATGTAGCTGAGGGATTTTCTCTGTGAGTAATTTTCAAACAAGACAAGATTGCAGATGCATACGGAGAGGAGCACTACAGAATGAGATGGAGAGTCTGCAGTACAGGGCAGAATGCAGAACATGGTATAGAATCAAGAGAACAGCAGCATAAATTAGCCACAGAAGTACATACCAGAGCTCAGATGCAAAGCAGCACACTGACTAAAATCCATACCACTGGCTTTTAGCTATTACTAGCAATGCTACAATGATGCAGTATGTACATCAGTCAATGCCAAGCACTACTCTCCCACTTTCCCTTGGCTTTTCTTTTCCACAGAATCCACTTACAGACTTCATCAGCACTGCCACAGAAAAGGTGGAGGATCATACCACCTGGTATACTGCCTTTTGCTTTGGGGACTAGGCAAAGACTTTGTTCAGGGTATTGCTTACTGCTTTAGGGCAATTTGTAACTGTTCCACCTGCATTCTGATCCTTCCTTACAATATCCACATGACAATGAAACAGTAAGAACCACCTGCAATCCTTTATCACTGGGGACAGATCTTTCTGTCACTGAGATTCCCTGGAATTTGGGAACAAGGGGAAAAGTAGAAAGAGAACTAATTCAAATCATTCCTTCACTGTATGTACATGTTCTGCATTTTTACATTTACTCTTAAACCCAGGCCAATGAAAACTCTGACAGATACTATCATTATTATCGTCATTATTATTGTCACTATGCAGTGCTGGAAAATTTGTTTAGAAGACAGCTGTCAATTTCTTTGTGTGAGATGTACAAAACACCCTATTTGATGCACATATCCAAAAGAAAAACACTGTTCTTTAACCTACCAGGATAATTTATTTTTTTACAAACAAAACTTCTTTTCAAAAAGTGATACTTCCTGTGTAATTGTTAACACTGTAAGAAAAGTCACGTAAAACAATAAAAAACCAATAAAAGTGTAATTACTTTATAATTAGGAAGATAAACCTAATTTGTGTGAACAATCAAATTTAAAGTACTAGCAAAAGAAAAATAGACATATATAGTCTGTATTTTTCATTGCTTCAATCCTTCCACTCTTTTTCATTCAGCTAGAAAGTAAATTGCTACAGAATGTTGCATGATAATCACCTCCAAGATCCAAATGCCTTCCAGAGGAACCTAATAAAACTAAGGTCAATACTGGATATAAGCCATGAGAAGTTGCTCATTGGGCATTTCTTCAATTTTTATTTCAAAGAAAATGAAAGAGCATAAGATGGCAAACAAACAAGAAACACTTAATTACTGATGATCTGTGCCACAGATTCTCTTGGACACAGCAGAAAATAATGAAATATAAAATTTCTAAGTTATGCAGTAACCAGACAATAAAACAAAAGAAACTTCTCTCAGACTCTATTTTAAATAAAACAAAAAAGCTCAAATGGCTTTCACTGGACTTTGGGCTAGCCTGAGGAGCTTTGGCCATCAACAGATAATTATTTCCACCAGTTCCCAGCTCCTCTACAAACGCAAAGCAAAAGAGAATTCCTCTCAAAGAGGCAGGGGGAGGGGGCAACACATAGGAAGAAAGTTACAGATGTTGAACATCAAGGAAGGCATGAAGCCAGTACTTAGAAAACTGTAGGAATGTTTTCAGTTGCATCAAGAGGTGGTTTGGGAGAAGCATTCGTTTTGCTTCCATGTGAGGAGATACCTAGTGCAGCATTAAGAGCTGTACATGTAAAATGTCTCTGTGCTATAAACAAGAAACATCTCAACAAGGAACTTATAAACATGTTCCTACAGGAACCAGGTGATATTGCTTTTGGGATCTGTTCAAGACATTATATTGGGTCATGTACAGACCTACCAGCTCATTCAGAAACAGCCTGTGTAATTTGGTGCTGCAGGCGTAGTATGTATTGCATACTATAGTTTATATGTAAGGACAGGGAGATAGAGTTTCTTCCCCTGAAGAGATTATAGCCCGAGAACCAAATTTTGATCACCCTGCTCAGAATAAAAAGTGCTTTACTTCCCAAATAGGCTGTAACAATGTCAGAAGAATTCAACACGAATCTTCCCATTTATCCCAATGAGCTACTATTCTGAGTTTCAGATGCAGCAGCCATTCTCAACACACTTGTACCGGTCTGAGGAGGTACCAAAAAAGGTAATCTGGAAACTCTTCTTATATATTTGTGACAAAGTTATGCCAAGAGTACTATAAAGAAAACATTGTTCCCCTGAGGTACCCAGAACTTCCATATTCCAGAACCTGAAAATCAATCAAAGCTTTTTTTTTCCTTACATGTGTTCTGAGGCATTAGGAAAGAGTTGTGAGTACTGAGGGGCTGAATCTTCAGGACCATGAGGAGCAGCATGGCTTATAACCATCAGTACAGGCCTGTGAGGATACATCTTCTTTGATATTCTAAAGAAGGTAATACTGTCATTTGTAATCAGATCAGTCAGATAATCCTGCAAGTAGAAGCAAAAGTATAATGAGACACTTGAAAAGGAATTTCAAACTGGGGGGGCAATAGGAAGGAGAGGTCTCAGGTATCATAAGAAATAGGAAAAAAGAAGCTACTTCACTTAGAATGGTATGAGAAGGAAGTAAGTCACAGATACTAAGAACTCAAAAATTTAGAATCAAATAATTCTTTCTTCACTGCCTAGAAATACAAAAACCAACAGCTTCCAGATTTTTCTCAGAACTGAATGGCACTAAAGGAGATAAAATAGTATCCTTTCTTCCCAAAGTGGGCAACTACATGATGAAAAACACAATACTAAATACAATGACCAGGTATGAATTAAAAAAAAAATAACAGTGTCAGTATCTTCAAGGTGTATAGTCCAACCTTACGTCATAAAAATATTTTGAAAATGCTAATGGCTTGATATTCTTTTTTTTTTTTAATCTTCTGCACCAGAAATCACTAAACGAGAAGATGGTGGGCTAACTGAATCAAAGACTTTATTCAATGACAATCTGATTGAGATATAACTCTATCACACATATTGTTGAGAACTTAGAAAACTTCCTGTAGAAGAGCTGGACTATCTCTGTATTTTCTAAGAAGTATCATTATATCACTCTTAAGATATCTGCAAGAGCTATAGGGATTGAAGACAGGATTTTTAATGACAAGCCATGCTCTCCCTTAGGTGCTTCCATGGAAACACTACAAACATAAATACCCCTCAAACATGAGTAAGACATGAAACTACACCTTAAAAAAAAAACCAAATAACTATCATGGCACAGCAGAGGAGTAAAAATCAGACATAGCATTTGACTCTGGTCAAGCCAACAGGTACAAGTTGTGGTACAGACTGGATTGCATCTCCTTTTGAGTACAGCTTTCTGTCCACAGTTAAGACACTTGCTCCTCTTCACCTCTGTCAATGTCCTTGGTCTGAGAAGTCAGCTCATCATTCAGAGAAAGCCTTTTCCATGGACTATATTTACTTCCCCCAGGTTATTTCTTGTCTATGCCAGAAGGCTGGCACAGTCTCCATTTATAATTTTTCACACTTGTACAACACAAGGCACAACTGTTATGAAACTGCCATGATTATGACTGTTACTGGGATGGCACTTTCACTTTCAATGGGCATTAAATGAAGGTCTTCCACTCATAAAAGCAAGCAGGAGATGGAAAAATGCACCAAAGCAAAGCTGACTTCTGAACATGCCTTCAATGCCTGAGTCAATATGCATAGATGAGAGAGAATACTTAAGTGCTCTCAAAAATGCACTGCCATTAATCTTCATTATGCTGTTTCTTTAAGCGGGTCAATCATTTGAAGTGCGTAACTCATCTTTGATTTAGCCATTACAAGAGTATAGTTTTCCAGTTTCATTTTAAAGATACAGATTTCCACATGGTCAAAGCGAAAAATCACTGCAAACTCAGCAATTACCAGGTCAAATGACCAAACAGAAACATTTCACTGAATTGATTTCTAAAGGGTTTTTTTAAAGGTCCATACTGTAGAGGTTGTAGCTGTACAAAGTTAAAGTTACTCTAAAAATGTTGACCGAAGGTGAAAAAGAAAAATCAAAGTAGAATATATCCTGCAAGAAAATCTGAAAGAATTTAGTTTTCAGAAGAGTTTAGCAGTTACTTTAGAGGACAGAATAATCAGTGATTTTTTTCTTCTAGTTTTCCACTGGCACATAATTAACATTAACTATGTTAAACAGAGAGGACTAAAAAAATTCATCTGATTATATTAGTCATTGCTGGAAATGTGATTTTCCAGCAACAAAACTGGCAGGAAATAAAGAGAAAAGAGTCTTCCATTTCAGCTTCTGTCTGCTGATTTGAACTCCAGTGTTAACATCAACCAGTGTTGATGCTCTGCACACTGGTTTTTACTGTAGCTGCTTTTTATACAAGAATATGAAGATTATAAAAAGTTTGCATTTCCATCATCCTTATTTTTTATTTATTACCAAACTCTGTAAGAAAAAACTAAAACAAGTGAAACGTAAATGTTTTCAAGTCTTTCCCACACAGAACAGAGCTGAAGGTATTGGAACATAAAGCTCCGTGTTGGCTCCTTGGTACGATGGAGATGGAGAACAGTGCCTATGAAATCACTTGGCTGACACTGTTCCACACAAGATATACTTCCATCATAACATTTCAGTGCACAGCTGTAAAGATTAATTCTGTCATTCTTCACAGATCTGAAGGAGAATAGAAGACAAATAATTCTGTACATTAGTTTACTCCTTCCCCTTAGCAGCTGGTAATGGAGAAAGTAACCCTAGAAGACTGTGAAGTTTTATCTCTCAGCACAAAGTACATTCAATTATAAAAGGCAAACAGGGCAAAGAAAAGTGGAAATCCCAGACAGGAAATACCAGACATCAACCTTTTAAAGGAGAAACTGGCTGTGAACTGAAACAAAAATAGGAAGGCAGGATTTGCAATCAATAAGAGAAAGCAAACAAAACACGTGTTAAACAAATATACATTACAAATCACTTCAGAGTGAGTCCACTTCCTTAGTTATACATTAAAACTAGAGCAGGTTATGGATAGATTTAGTCACCATCATACTACAAAGTCACTTCTGCCTACTTTAGGACTTCAGTAAAGCTGGTTCCTTTGGAAAGGAACACTTTTAGCTGAAATAAATGTATTCCTGACTGCAAGCAGGTATTGAACTGTAGCATGTTAGATGAGGGGAAAATAAAACTGCATTTGACAATGACTATGAAGCATTTTTGTAAGTTTGGTCAGGATATAACATCCTTGAAAACATATTAAAAAGCATATATATCTGTATGCACAGAAATACAAACATAATAATTAAATTCTCCACTGATTCAGAATTATCATCAATTGTACCAAGATTCTGTGAATACTCCCTAGTATTGTGGCTGTGAAAGAAGTTCCTTGAACTAAAAGGGTGGGTCTAGCTGGAGAGAAATGGGTTCTTATCTCATGAATACTTGTGTAACTACACTGCCACAATAATTATCATACAAAGCATAGAAATAGTTAATCTGAAAAATTTAAGTCTACTTTCACATCTTCAGCTTGTAATACTTAACACAGTCTTATTTAACAGTCTCAGAACATTTTACTTGTTTACACTGTTAGTAACAATGTTTTTGGTAACATAACCCTCCCAGAATGGAAGGTAACAATGTCCCAACACTACTGTTACTGGTTGTAGATAATGTTACACATAGCAGCTTTCAAGTACAAAAAGAGATTGAAACCATGAAGTGCAGCTTTCTTGTGGTAATGTCCAAATGTTAAGAGAAATAAATAAACAGAACCTACCCTGGAGTAGTCATATCCATGTTTCTCCTTCACTCCATTTCTACAGAGTGTGTAGTTGTAAAATCGAGAATTTTTAAGTAATCCAACCCATTCTTTCCAACCAGGCGGCACATAGGAGCCATTGTATTCATTAAGGTACTTTCCAAAGAAAGCTAGTGGTAGAGAAAGCAGAAGCATAGTAAGAAGGCATAACAGAAACACAATTGTTAAATTGATTCATTCCTTTCTGATTTTTCTTAAAATAACTTTGTTCTCTCCATTACAAGGGATCTAAGATAAGAGGTAAGTTCTGAGTCTTAATCTTGCCTCTGTTTTTTTGGGGTTTTTTTTTTTTTGGTTTTTTTTTTTTTTTGGTTTTTTGTTGTTGTTTATATCTCCATAATGCAGATATTTTGATTTACAACCTATGTACAGGAGAAACTGGACCACAATTACCATTATACTTTCTTTTTTGGTACCTGATATATTTGGGGTCAGACCACACATCCCTCCTCCCAGATTCTTCTCTTCATATCCTTCATGATGCTGAGCTGCATCTATCCGCCTATCAGTGCCCTACGAAACTGCACTTACCACCAAGCGTGTGAAATTAGAACTCATGTTTTAAGATATTAACACTCTTCATTTCATCATGAATGCTGTGCTTTAGGTATTTTGAAAATGTATTTAGAGCACTGCTCTTCTGACCTATTTCAACAGACAATTTTCCAGATATTAACTTGGGTTCTGAACGCAAGTCTTAATTACACATAAAGACTTGTTTACCTCTCTAAAGTCTTTTACTTCTGCATCTGATACCAGTTTTCCTCAGCCCAAAGTTTGCCCAATCATTAGTATAGTGATAGAGTGGTGGGAGAGAGAGAACACCTCTGTCCTTTTTTCAGATGTATAACTAGCAAAAACTACTTTTAATACTTTTTGTTCCTTGAGAGACAATCAGAGGGAAACAGATGAGAAAGTACTCTGTGCATTGCATGGAACAACCAGTTAGACCAAAGGTCAATTATATTTTGCATTCACATCATGGCCAAATATACTTTTAGGCTGACAATGTACAGTGGAATAAACATAGCAAAATTAATGAATTTACTGCAGTAATGGGGGTTCTGAGATAAAAATCCTGTCATTAAGTGTTAAATTTCATTCCATAGGTAAATTTTTTTTTAATGAGATATCAGTTCTTTTTAGGTATCAAAGTAACTGAAGTAGTGAAGCCATCTTCAAAATGGTCAACAAAATGGTCCCAAGTCTGCACCTTTTGTGACAACCAAAAATACAATACTACTGTAAAGATTAGAAGATGTGGCATCAGTATAATTACCTTAGTAACTGCAGGAAATCTAACAGATTGCATAAAACATACGGTGAGTCTTCCACCTCTTAAGAGTACTTTCAAGGAGGGGCTTAAGACTACATTTTGTTATCAATCCCTTTAGTTCCTTCATTGAGGTACTTCACCAGGTAGACTAAGGGCAGAAATACAAGTGTGTATACACACAGCCATTTTAGTCTATTGCAAACTGATGGCAAATTTTTCTCTACCTTACGGCACACTGACAGCATAGTGTGCTATCATATCCTCCATCCCCCATTATCACAGGGACATACATAGAGTAGTTCTAAAGGCAAGAGCCTTTACAGGCACAGCTCTTCTCTGTAACTGGAATAAAAAATACCAATTAATTAATGAAACAGAATGGCTGTAAAAACCACGTTGTACAGTGACTTGTAACCACTGCACTTAGAAGAATCTATAGATTGTTATGCCAGGGAACTAGTCTAATATCCAGCAGGACAAAGGCAAAGCACAGTAGTCTTTGTGACACCTTTGCTCTTCTTCCTGAATTTGCATTGCACATTCCCCAGTTGTGGCCAAGGATCAGCACCAAGATCTATTTACAGAATCAGGGGAATTGGCTGGAGGGGAGCAGATGAAGCCAAATGAAACAGAAATACCCAAACCAAATACCTTGAAATGGTAGACAAGACCAAAGAATACTGATGGTGAGCCAAGTCTTGCTGTCCTTCTCAGATAAGCAAGTTCCCAATGGAGTTGGGACCAAAGTATCCTTTCACTAATGCCTGTGACAGCTTACCAAAGTTTAAACACAGATCTATAGGGCATAAGTATCTTTCTGACTATCCCTCTCAGGCACCTTTTGAAAGTTAAAAGGAAAAAAATTGTAGAACTTCTTGTTAAGGTTATGGAAACTTCTCCACAGGAAGAAAGAAAACAATTCTCTCATGGCTCTCAATTTCATCACAAATAGCAGTCACTCAGGTAACCCTACCACTGTGAAGTCTTCCCCATTTCCACAAGCCTTCCCACAGCTTGTCAATGGGCTGTGTTGACTTACGGGGTATTGTTTTAAAGATGAGCTGCTCAAAGGCAAAAATTCTCATCTATTTCTAAAATCGTCTTCATCCCTGGAACAGAAATCTTCTCCTGGAAGCACAGGACTACTCTCTTTCTCTGTCCAAACTTCTCAGGGGATCACAGCTATTTCAACATCTGCTTATCATAGCATGGGGGCCTTTGCTTGATATCAATTTGAACACTTTAATCTCCCCATAGTTTCATGCATTATAGGAAAAAAGAGTCTTTTCTCCATAGCTTACAAGAGGATTTCAGCCCCAAGATCTAGGCAAATCCTCATTCCCTCCCATCTGGGACTTAATTTCTTCCTCACTGACCTCGATATCTTCATGTTGTTCTTTTACATGTTTGCATCTTGTTCTTTTCTCTCACTTGAGGGAGAATTGAAGCACTGAAAGGGTTAACATCACACCTGGGGCCTACCTGACCCGCCGGGAGCTTCGGCTGGGCTGTGCCAGGATCAGCCTCGTGGCTGGTTTTTGGTTTTCTTTGTGTTCAATTCCAGGCGGAGGGCCACTCAACACGGGCTGCAGAGGTCTCTGGTCTCAGCCGCTCTGGGGGGACCTGGCGGCAAGATCTTAACAGCAGCGGCCAGCGCTGCTCCGGCCAGCGCTGCTCCGGCCAGCGCTGCTCGGGCCAGCGCTGCTCCGGCCAGCGCTGCTCCGGCCAGCGCTGCTC